GTGAAGCTGTTTTTTATTTATGTTGACAATTTTTTTCTACCTGATTCTACATTCGGGAGTTATATGGGTGTCCTGTAAACTCTAGTTAGAATGAAGAGCTCAAAAAATGTGATATCCCATCTTGGTTGAGGAGGAGAACAAAATACCCTTTATAAGAGTGTGGAAAACTTTCCCTAGAAGATGCGTTTTAAAAATTCAGAGGGGAAGTCCGAAAGGGAAAGCCCAAAGAAGACAATATCTGCTAGCAGTGGGTCTGAGCCGTTACAAATGGTATCAGAGCCAGACACCGGGCAATGTGCCAGCAAAGAGGTTGTTCCCCAAAGGGGGTAGACACGAGGCGGTGTGCCAGCAAGGACGTTGGGTCTCGAAGGGGGTGGATTTGGTGGTGGTCCCATATCGATTGGAAAAAGGAATGAGTGCCAGCAAAGACGCTGAGCCTTGAAGGGGGGTGGATTGTGATATCGCACACTGGTTGGGGAGGAGAATATTTTTTACAAAAGAAAAAAAAGAAAAAAAAAAAAAGAAAGGAGGAATTTAGTTAGATTATAAATGGAAAACAATAATAATTTTATTTTCATATTTTGATCATAATGGTGCCGTCTACCAATTTAAGTTTCCAGTAAAATTGCTACACTTTTTCTCTTATTTTAATTATGATAAAGGAAATTCAACTGGAGATATTATTATTTTTCAACAGTCAAATAGATTTCTTTGAACAAAAGAAAAGTCAAGCCAATATATATTTTTTTATATAATTTGATAACCATCAATGTTGATTACCAATTAAGTCAGCTGTAGGATGTTCACATTTCTTTACTATCGTTATTAGTTTTTTAGCATCCGTGTATTCTAGATATCTGTTTCTAGACTAACAGCATGCACCCTAGGAATATCCTAGCTTGGCAGTAAAAAGTGCCAAGCCCTTACATCATAGTATTCATCATTCAATTCAATTCAATTCAATTATCTCAGTATTGCTGGATTTCCATATATATATAATTCAATTCAATTCAATTATCTCAGTATTGCTGGATTTCCATATATATATACATGAAATCTATCTCCTATAACAAATTTCAAAATAAAGCAGGGAAGTGGATACAATAACTAGAGTTTAGGTGTATTTACCCCTTTCACTTCATTAAATGTGCATCTCTTTGTTTCACTAAAAAATGTCACATGCATGCTTAATTACGCACTCTGACAAATAGATGCAGCTGCACATGGATGTAAGCATCATTAAATTGTACGACCTGCTTCCGTGTTCATGTCTTTTACATCCGCCATTTTCAGCTTCTTTTAGTTCCGCTGGAGGCAGTGAAGATGGTAGGGAATTATTGGTCCAGCACTTGCTTGTTAAAGAAGATGACATTAAGCTCTTATCGGATCTTCAGCAGAGAATTGCCGGCGGTTAGTTTTAATCTGTACTAACATTATGTAAAGCACTTCATCTTATCCTCCCACCCAATGAAAGTACAGTGGAAATTGTATAATCCAAACGTTGTTGATTTTTGTTCCCTTCCAGATCTAAAATTTATTACACATAGTAGAATGCAGGTTAATGGAACATGTTTTTTTTTCTCCTTTTTTTGGACGAGATACATGCTTTCATTAAATATCTAGGGGACACTGAAATATTAGATGAACGAAATTCTAAATATTAAAAAATTACATCATATAAACATGGTTTTTCGTCTATTTTGTTGATATATGTGGTATTCCTGACTATTTGTTCAATAATGTTCTCATGTAATATTTTCCTTTGCTGCATTCAGGTGAAGATCTGAGCGATCTTGCTGTGGAGTACTCACTCTGTCCATCCAAAGAAGAAGGGGGAATGCTTGGATGGGTGAAGCGGGGGCAAATGGTACGCATTACAATGTTGAATCTCTTGCACACTCATTTTTCTAACCTCCCTTAATTTCTCTCTTCATTACTAGAACATTTTTTGTTATAGTAATCAATCTAGCACCCAGGCTTACTATGCACGCTGCAGCTGCTGATCTATGAATAAGAGAGCCTGGCAATGTGATATCTTGTGCACACATCCAATATTTATATTTATATTTGACCTCCTTGTGTTGTAGATGGTTAAGCTTTTTATAGTTTCTATTTCTCTCTTATTTTTTCTTAGAGGAGACTTCATCATCTTCGTCTTCCTGAACTCTTCATTACAACACATGCTGCTATACTTTTTGTGTTATTGTTTTTCGGTTTTTCTTTTTCCACAGCATGATCTTACGGTGACATGTGTCCAGGTACCAGAGTTTGAGGAGGCTGCCTTTAATGCACCCTTAAACAAAGTGGTAAAATGTAAAACAAAATTTGGATGGCACTTATTGCAAGTTCTATCAGAGAGGTATGACCACAAGACAAATTAAATCCTAATTACTTGTAAACCTTGACCATGACACTGCATTAATGTTTTGCACATTTGCAAATCTTCATCTTAGGGGAGAATCGGTGCTTCTAGACATTCAACCTGAAGAGCTTCATTTGAAAATGCAAGATCCAAACTTCTTGAATGAGGCACAGTTAATTGATGTCCGAGAACCTGAAGAAGTGTATGGACTTATTCCTCTTTTTAATTTATAACCCCACTTTTCCTTGGAGTCGTTGATGTTTTCAAAATCCCTTTTGGCTTCCCTGCTTTATCAAAGATGGAGAAAAGGGTTCATCCAATTGTTTTGATAGACAGTAGTTGCAACAAAAAGACTTTGATTACTCCATACCATAACTATTATATCGATCAAGAGACCACAAACATGTCAATCATCAAGTCCCTCAAAATGTTGGGGAGGAATTTTAAAAAGTGTCGAAACTTATTTTGTTCACTTCAAGTAACTATAGAAATTTTAATAGGTCTTTGAATGATCCAAAATGCATAAAGAGCTTGTTTGTGAGGCATCTTGGCCTTGTTAGTTGTGTTTGATATTTCGAAGTTGGGAAGTTCTACCATTTCTAACGTATGAGAAATCTTATTTTTCTTCCATATATTGTGTATTTTAAAAGGAAAAAATAAAAATAAAAAAATAAATCCTGGATTTATCTGTTTTATATTATATATGAAGCTATCCTGAACTCTTTTCTTTAACAGGGACCAGGCTTGTTTGCCAGCTTTTCAGGTACTACCTCTCCGTCAATTTGGAAGCTGGGGTCCGGAAGTAACAACGAAGTTTGATCCTCAAAAGGATACTTACGTCATGGTAGGTGATATCTATATTTATTGATACTAAAAATTTTATTGAAAAGATAGAAATATTCAAACGCTCCCTGGGAATAAAAAGGAAAGTTTCCAGTTGGAAGCAATTAAAGGAATCCAGTCAGGGAACTCCTTTGGATTTCACTCCAAAGATAGGCAAAAATAAGTAACTGGATCTCTAACCCCCACAAATTCCTGTTCTCTGGAAAAAACTCCCATGTTTCGTAAGGATAGCCCACGCAATATTAGACTACAAAAATATCCTTTTGCTTTTGAAGGTGGAGAGACAGAACCCCTTTATTTACAGTCTAGGGAGAAGGGAAACTGATACCAAATTGCTGCAATAAATTTGTCGATAGAGCCATGGGAAAACCGCAGTAGACAAATAAACGATCAGCACTTCCTTGTTGCCCATACAGCACTTACCAATTTGGTTGAAGAGCAAGGAAATAATTTTTTACTTGGATTTTATCAATTGTAGTCATCCCTTCTCTGATTAAAATCGATAGAAAAACTTTTTTTTCTTTTTTTTTCTTTTGGAGATCTGCCTTTTCTAACAGCTTTAACGCTGTTGCTTAGTTCTTTTTAAAATTTAATCCTGATTCATTTCATGTTTGTTCTTGCGTTTGAAAAGAAATAGTTTGCCCCGCTTTACTACGAAAATATATCACATAAATCCTCACTGATTGGCTTCATATTCTAAGACAAAACTTTCCATATTCTAATTGGTTTCTGACTTTCGCTTCATTAGGGACGTAACTAAACAAGTGAACACGATATCCTGGATTCCTTTTAAGTTGATGTTTGCATGTCTTGTATATGATGGAACCTGTGAAATTGGATGTATATTAAGGGTGAAATAGGCCGACCCACCATCATTCGTTCTTGGCTATAATTGAAGCCTGTAAAATTGCAGGAGAAGTTTAATTTGGTTCGAGTTTCAATTATCATTATTAAATTTTGCAACTCAGTTCAGACTAATTTATTTGTAATTAGCCAGTTTCTCCTTAGATTTTTGAAATTTTTTTGCCATTGGATGCAGTGTCACCATGGAGTGAGGTCGTTGCAGGTCGCAAGATACTTACAAACGCAGGTAATATGACCTTGGAATTTCCCCACAATACATTATAGAGATGTCACTAATGTACTTTATCATCGATTCCTTTATGTCTCTCTGTCAAGTCTGAAAAAGATATAAGTAGTCTAAAGTTTGAATTTCTGAGGCAATTCATGTCAGTAGCTAAACATTTACAGTATTTTTAATCAGATTTCTAATGATGCAGCTGAGTTTATGAGCTTCCTACTGTTTTTCATTCATTTAAGCCTAGGCCTGACAATTCTTCTTCCTTTTCGCTGACAGTTTACATTTTATCCATATCAATTCTTAATACTATATTTGTCTTTGGAAAGATAAAGATACCTTATTTATTTTTCCTTCTATTGTTCAGGGTTTTAAGAAAGTCTACAATGTGTCTGGAGGAATTCATGCATACTCTCTCCAAATTGATTCATCTATCCCAACCTACTGAGATATTGCCCTTTCCTTTTATTTTCCCAACTTTTTTTAGTTCAATAATTGCAGGATTGAAAGATCGAGTCATATCGGCCTTTAGAATGATTATAGGTACCTTATCCTATATCATATCATGTATGCTAAGTTCATAAACAACTTCTTTTTCTATGCCATTTCTTGAATTATCTTGTTTTTTTTAATGCCCTATGCTCTTAAATTAAAACATAATACTAGATTTTTTTAGACATTTCGAAACCTATTCATTATTTTACAACAATTTAGAGACAATTTAGTCTCTAAATGTTTGTAGTCTTAGTTGATTAGATTTTTTTTTTTTTGAAATAAATATGAATAATAGTTAAAACTAAAATTTTAACTCCAACTCAAAAAAACAAAGAAAAATGTTCTCCAAAGTTGGAGGTTGGATCAGAATTTAAAAAAAGAAAAGAAAAGAAAAGAAAAGTAGAAGGGTAAAAATCAGTTGAAATGAGGCGGGAAACGCTGAGAACCACAAGGCATTGGAAGGCGTTAAGGAAGACTGTGTCAATGGGTTCCTCCTACAATTCCTCTCTATCAATCCTGTGTGTAAGGATCAGTTGTCCTGCCTGTGTTCTCCTCACTTTCCACCATTTTTCTTCCTTTTTTTTCTCTTTTCTTCCCATTATCTCTATACATGGATTTTTCTCTCTCGTTCTCTTTTGGTTCTGCCCCAAATACCAATTCAATCTTGTCTCCTTCAATCGCCCATCCCTAAGCCGCCGCCGCCGCCACCCCCATCCCCGCTCCTCCGCCATGGGCAACTGTTGCTCTCGTGACAATCCCGACGATGCCCCCACCAGCACGAGGGAGGATTCTAACGGGGATAACTCCAAGGATGATGGCGGAAATACCAACTCCATTAAGCATGCTCCTTCGGCCTCGCCGGTGGCTTCCGCCAAGGCTTCTAAGACCTCTCAGATCGGAACTGTTCTAGGGCGGCCGATGGAGGATGTCAGAAACACTTACTCCATTGGTAAGGAGCTGGGAAGGGGTCAATTTGGGGTAACCCATTTGTGTACTCATAAGGCTAGTGGCGAACAGTTGGCGTGCAAAACCATTGCTAAGAGGAAGCTTGTAAATAAGGAGGACATTGAAGATGTTCGAAGGGAGGTCCAGATTATGCACCATTTAACTGGTCAGCTCAACATTGTTGAGCTTAAAGGTGCTTATGAAGATAAGCATTCTGTTCATTTAGTCATGGAGTTGTGCGCTGGAGGAGAGTTGTTTGATCGCATCATAGCAAAAGGGCATTACACCGAGCGAGCTGCGGCATCGTTGCTCAGGACTATTGTGCAGATTGTGCACACTTGCCATTCCATGGGGGTTATTCATAGAGATCTTAAGCCTGAAAACTTTCTCTTGCTGAGCAAGGACGAGACGTCTCCGCTCAAGGCCACCGATTTCGGTTTATCCGTGTTCTACAAGCAAGGTTTGTTCAAGAACCTGACTGTTTCTGTTATACATCTTGCAATGGCTGATGGCTAATGATCTTGTTCTTGTTTTGGTCTGAATGTTGTTGCTCTATAGGAGAGGTGTTTAAGGATATTGTTGGTAGTGCATATTACATTGCACCAGAAGTCCTGAAGAGGAGATATGGCCCTGAAGTTGACATTTGGAGCGTTGGAGTCATGCTATACATTCTTCTGTGTGGTGTTCCACCTTTTTGGGCAGGTAGTTTCATAATTTTGCTAATCTCTCTGCTGGGTTTTTTCTTCTCAAAAGAAACCATTTGATAAGAGAATCGGATCACAGAATCCGAACATGGGATATTCAATGCGATCTTGCGTGGCCACGTCGATTTTACGAGCGATCCCTGGCCTTCGATATCTCCAGCAGCAAAGGATCTTGTAAGGAAGATGTTGAATTCAGACCCCAAGCAGAGATTGACAGCCTTCCAAGTCTTAAGTAAGTTCATTCTTGAGCTGAAGTTGAATAAGAAAAGGCCTGCATAGAATTATGAACCATCAAGCAATGCCTCTCACTACATCAATTCCTTTTCTATCAGATCATCCATGGATTAAGGAGGATGGAGAAGCACCTGATACACCACTCGACAACGCGGTGCTCAATAGGCTCAAACAGTTCCGTGCGATGAACAAATTCAAGAAAGTCGCTCTTCGGGTGAGCGATAACGAACTGTCTGTTCCATGCTAACCCCCACACCAGAAAGAATAAAAGAAGAGACAAGTACTAATAATGTGCCAAATGGGCAGGTGATTGCGGGCTGTCTATCAGAAGAAGAAATCATGGGGCTCAAACAAATGTTCAAAAACATGGATACTGACAACAGCGGGACAATAACGCTTGAAGAACTTAAGCAAGGACTCGCAAAGCAAGGCACAAAACTCTCTGAATATGAAGTGAAACAATTAATGGAAGCCGTAAGTCTTTGGTTGTCGGATTCCTCTCAATCCATGAGTTTTCATGCTCAAATCTGAATGTTACTTTTCGGGTTTTATAGGCGGATGCCGATGGCAATGGAACCATAGACTACGACGAGTTCATCACAGCGACAATGCACCTAAACCGAATGGATAGAGAAGAGCATCTCTACACTGCCTTCCAGTATTTCGACAAAGATAACAGCGGGTAACGAAATCAAATTCGAGTAGACTTTTGCTAAAGTTCACTTTGAAATGAATACAGAATGTCACTGATGATCGAACTTCAAACTATGTTGTGTGTTCAGTTATATCACGACCGAGGAGTTGGAGCAAGCTCTTAGAGACTACGGAATGCACGACGGGAGGGACATCAAGGAGATCCTTTCTGAAGTGGATGCAGACAACGTAAGTTTTCTCAATCACAACTTCGACTAGAAACTAACCAAACGTAACATGTTCTTGAATCTCGACAGGACGGTCGCATCAACTACGATGAATTTGTGGCGATGATGCGAAAAGGAAATCCAGACGGGAATCCGAAAAAGCGTCGTGACTCTTTCAACGTTTGATTTGGTTAATGGTGGGAGTGCAGTGGAGGAGATGACAAGAATTGCTGCCACCTGAATGTTTTGGTCTTCTATGGAGAAACGATGAAGAATATGAGGGTGAATGCAAAGAGAATGGAAAGGGTTGAGAAGCAGAGTCTTTTTGTCTCGAGAATGCCATATATTTACAGTGTGAATGGTGGTGGTTCCTTTCAGAGATAGAAAATCGCCATACAAAGAAGAAAGGAAAAGATTAATCATACTCTCTAATTCTTAGGATTTAAGGGGTGATAGCGGTTCTTGTCCACTTTTAGGCAGACTAATTATTGCTCTTATGGTTGGTTGACTGACTGATTAGAAGAAACATGAATTTGTTCAAAATTGTCTGTTGTATTCATTAAACAGAGAGGTCAATAGTTCTGAACCCAATTTCTGTACAAAATTAAATATAAGGTATCTAAACATTGTTCAGTCGAATTCAGAAGGGATGTACATGGATAACTGTATGATGTTTTATATGAAACTTATATAATATCTAATGATTTATTAATAGGTATTCATACTAGTTTGCACGCACCTCGACTATTTCATCCATGAAACAACATATCTGATCCTATTACATTTGGTTGCTAAACTAACTCGAAAGATATTAGATGCTAGATGAGCGAAACTATGACTTCAACTCATTTCCTCTTGGTCAAGCCATGAGACATCGGGTTAAAAATATATATCAACCACGTAACTGTACTACAACAAAGATGAAAGGGAGAACTTTTGGCAGAACAAGATGGCTGTTTTTCTGAATCTTTTCTTTCCAAATGCTCCACAGGAATTCCTAATAGCACACAAATGAAAAGGACTTCCGTACTCGGTCTCCTCAAAACTATGGTGGTGAATGTGAAGAGGTATAACTGAATTGATAGAAGGTACTACCCACAAATTCACTACTTCTATGGTGTACTTGTGCAGGGCAGAAAATCCTCATTAAGGAAATCTTTTTAACAGCATGTCTTCTATATAAAATATGGATCTTTATAACAAAATTCATGGTGTACTCAATGGTGTGCAAGGGCTTTTCAGATGGCAAGGCACAATCAGAAGGTCTAAGACTAAGAGAGGCAGCACATAGAGGGTACAAAGAGGGGAAAGAAAGTATAAAAAATCTACAAACGTTGTAAAAAATGCATCTTATAAGCGTATGAATATTGCAAATTTAAAAATGTCCATCATAAGCTATAGAATCAATCAAGGAAAGTATAGCTAGAACAGATGCATCCTGCCTAACATATAGGTTGGTCTCTGATTTGCCCCAACTTCCTCCATCTCTAACAACAAATACCTTTTGAGCAACCCAAATAGATCCTAATCATCCAAAGTGCAGACATATTTCCACAAAGATAGTGCATTTCATCCATCTTTTTCGGACATCCCTTCAAGGATGTGAAGAAGATTTTCTGGCTGGCTCTAAACATGGTTTTCTTCTGGTTTTTTGGGGGCAAGAGAAATGGAAGAGTCTACTGGGGGTTTTTCTCCACCCTTTTCAGATTATAGTCTTACTTTGTTGATCCCAAATTGGAGAACTTGCTTGTAATTCACATGCAGGTCCTTGGGGTTCATTCAGTTATTTCATTCATCAATGAAACTTGTTTCTCTTCCAAAGAAAACTATCATAGCAGTTGTCCAGACATTCAATTTCTATTACAATCCCATATTCACTTTCCTTGCACGCTCACGTGCACAAACGCTGGTGTACCATTTCATCAGCTTCTGAAAGAAAAGACGATAATCCCATACGATAAATTCTATTGAATGCTTTATGTGCCAAGCCTAACTGGTAAGGTGTCTGAAGGCTGCACAACTCATTGTGATGGCAGAATTCCAATATGCACTATTATTTCAATTAGAAAAGAGCTATCAGACCAACCTTACTGCATTCTCACAAAGTCATAACTTGCACATTCTTGAGCGACTACTAAGGTTAACTACCCAAAAAACCCCAACCACATAAGATAGACGTAACCCAGGCGAAAAAATACGGTCAGGCGATAAGAATGAAAGCTAACAATTTGATTACTGTTGACGAAACCTCTAACGAAGAAGTCAATTACGCAAACAGAATCAAGCCATGATCAGGAAATATAGAGACTACATGAAAAGTACTGCCAACTTAAGCAAAGATGGTAATCATTGCCCACACATGACCAAAACTTAAGTCAAATAATACAGCTACGAAACCCTAGAAAGAGATATAGAGAACTTCAAGTTACAAACAATTCGACTAAATTCCAATATTGCTTGAGAAAATTCCGAGAAAAAAAAAAGTTTCATATTACACCTTTTACTTATCTTTCGTAGAAACCCCGTACTTCTCCTGCATCCTAGCAATTTCATCCTCTTTCTTCTTTTGATCGAACTTTTTACTCATCTTGGCCTGCTGGTAGTACAACACGATCAGATACCGATTCGCAACGTTGAAACCGGAGAGATGATCCACCGCCGTCTTAGCATCATAGATATCCTCGTAAACAACAAAGGCGGTACCTCTAGTATCTTTGTTCGTTCCAATCCGGATCTGCCGAATCGCCCCGTACTTGCCGAATATATCGTACATCTCTTCGCTGGTAATGTTGAAGGGCAAATTTCGTACATACAAAACTCTGTTGACCTCCGGCGGCAGCCTCGTGTTTCCCTTGCGGGGAAGACTGAATGTGGCCATGGAGGAAGGTTTCTTCGAGGCTGTTTGGGAGAAGATAGTGCGAGAAAGGTCGAAACGCGAGAGATGAATGTTTTGTGCCGTTTAAAACTTGGATTGTCGTATATATACTGTACTCAACTTCGAAAACTTGGAGACATGGCCAGGCCCAATTACCAAAGGACTTGGCCCATTTATAATGGGCCTCCTTAATTTGTATGGGCTTAGATAGTCAAAAGAAGTAAGTGGGCCGGGTCCGACTTCGGTCCATGGACAGCCAGCTTGTTACCCACTTTCATAGAAAAACCATAAAATTTGGGTTGGGACCAAAATTTTGACTTTTGACATTTTTTTTTTTTGTCGGGTCAACTCAACCAACCCAAAAGTAAGATTACAATCCAACCCTACTTGTAACAGTCTACTGTAAGCCAATATTGTCAACTTTAACTCATTAGGTATTATCATCAATCTGTTAGGGAGAGATTTTCACACCTTTACCAGGTATGATTCGTTCCCCTCTCCAACCGAGACCTCACACTATCTTACCATATTTTTCAGAAAAAGTAATAATTAATGTTAGTGATGAGCTGTGACTTATAAATGTATAATATTTAAATTTTATGAGTTCTTTGTTATTAATGTATATGTACCGTGGATAAGTAGATTTTTTTAAATAATTAAAAAAAAAAAAAGACAACTCCAGAATCCGACCTAAAAATAAGGAGTTTGATTGAATTAGGTTAAATTGTAAACTCTATTTGAGTTGCTCGGGTTACCTACCCAACAAATTTGAAATTATTAATATAAATACAACGGAAATAATGGACAAGATCTCTCCTGTTTTGGTGCTAAATAAAGGAGAGATCTATTTTGATTAAATATTTTTTAAATTATCTTTTTTTAGATAAAGGAGTTGGTGGTGTTTAATTAGGATGTCCCTATTTTGAAGTTGTTTTTATTTAGAGCAAAATTATATAATAAAGAAAAAAGATGGAAAATTTTTATTGGAAGATTTTGTACTAATTTTCCATTCATTTTCATTTTAATTCTCCTTTCCCCTCTCTGTTGCAGGTCTTCCACCTTCCCCTCTCCTCTTGAGACTCCATGGATACTCGGGTGGAGGTCAGCATTTCAAACTCTTTTCTCGTTCAGACTTTAAAGTTATCTCGTGGTTCAAAGTTTTGATCTTAAATTTTAATTTTTTAATTTTTTATTGTTTAGATTACGCATTTCAATCTTAATTCATCTTGAACGATGATATATTTGTAGTAATGTTATTAAGATTTTGAAAGAAAGAAAAATAAACATTTAGAAGATAAGTGTGGCTCATGGTTGTAATAAACTATATCGTAGAATATTGAATGAAAAATCATTGAAGTAATGGTTTGGAACGTCGTGATGATGACAACTTCAAACACCTACATAGATTAAGTCTAAAAGTAACGATATGCAAATAGGTAACTTTTCGTCCAATGTTGTAAGCTTTTTTCTACCATGGTAGTTTTGATATATTTACGAATGATATGTTTTCACCACTCCATAATCACTTCCAACCATGTTCCAAATGTCAATGATAATATCGAAACTTTTAAAATAATACAAGTATTTTTTAAACATGAGATACAAATTTAATGTATTTTGTAAGATCCCACACGTCAGTTGGAGATGAGAATATTTCTTAAAAGAGTGTAGAGACCTCTCCCTAAAAGAGGCATTTTAAAACTACGAGGCTGACATTATATAACAGGTTAGGTCAAAGCAGACAATATCTATTAGCGGTGGGCTTGGACGGTTACATATTCTTTCTAACGACCAATTTTTTTTTTTTTTTTTTTTCGTAATTCAAGAGAATCCTTGTATTTTATCATAAAAAAGCACCAGAATGGATACAAATCAATCAAAATCACAAATTCAAAAGCTGAAAGTTTCGTTGGTGTGTGTGTGTGTACAGAAAAACAATAGGTGGAAATCTGTTCCAGAGTTTGGGGGATGGGATCACAACGCACCTGGGGCAAGCAATTATTCTGTTGTATTCTCTCAAGCTCGTGCAAATAGGAAACAGCAAAAAACTGACTTAACTGAGTTCAAAAGAGCCAGCCTTGGAAATGAGAGGGAGATGATGGCAATGGCAGATAAACATCTTCGCCAACAGAACCACCACCACCACCGCCACCACAGCCACCACAGCCACCACAGCCGCTATGAACACCACCCACAATATCAACATCGTCTTCGCCCCCACCAGCACGACCCTGTTGTCCCGGTAAGCACTTTCATCTGCTGCATCCCCTGTTCTTTTCCTACCTTAATCTCTAAAACAGATCTTTAGAAGCAAAGCTAAATTGAACAATAAATACCATACATACATCTAATCCTTGCTCTTTTATTTCTCTTATTCAGCAGAAGAAAAAGAAGATTCTGACCTACATCAATTGTTGTATCAGGCCTTGATATGTGACGAGAAGGCAACCCGCTCCTCTATGTTTTAGTCAAATCACGCTGTTTATCTGAATTTTTTTTCCCTGGCATGAAAATGTAGAGATGAGACGTGTTCATCAT